TGTTGGAGCTAGGTGTGAATGTTTCAACTGACCACCTTGATTAGCATTTGATGGCCTGGCAGTTGTTTGGTGTGGCTTGTTAGTGCCTGGGGCAATCTTTTGTTGAGAAGTGATTAGATGTCCCTGATTGCCCCAAGCACCAACAAGCCGCAACAAACAACTGCCAGGCCATCAAATGCTAATCAAGGTGGCCAGTTGAAACATTCACACCTAGCTCCAGCAGACAAGAGTCTTTGTCCCACTCTGGTCTTTCCACAGATATATAAACCCCTCACTACCTCTGAGGATGCTAGCCATAGATGCAGGCTTTAGGAGGGTCATAGAAATTGCCAAATAGGCTAGGGATGCATCTATACTAAGCATGGACAAACTTCGGTTCTTGAGGAGTTTTGGACTTCAACTCCCATCATTCCTAACAGCCTCAGGCCCTTTCCTTTTCCCCCTCAGCCAAAAAGGAAGGGGCCTGAGGCTGTTAGGAATGATGGGAGTTGAAGTCCAAAACACCTGAAGGGACCTAGCTTGCCCATGCCTGGTCTACACTGTAGAATTAATGCAGTTTGATACCACCTCACCTGCTATGGCTCCATGCTATGGAATCCTGGGAGTTATAGTTTGGTGAGGCACCTGCACCCTTTAGGAGAGGAAGCAAAATACCTTCTACAACTACAGCTCATAGGATTCCATTGCCTAGGCTGCTCAAGTGCTGTCAAACTGTATTAATTCTGCAGCATAGATTTATTTCTAGTGCACCACAACTCTGGAGATGAAGGTTTGAATCCCCACTCAGCAATGAATCCCACACAGTGACCTTGAGTCGGTCACACTCTCTCATCCTCAGAGGAAGTCAATGAGCAAACTTTGCTAGGAAAACCCTGCAATAGGTTTGCTTTAAGGTCGCCATAAGTCAGAAGAAATATACAATAACAATAGACGATTTGCATAAGGAGAAGTGGAAAGCCCTGGCTCTTGAGTGCTCTAACTGGAAGTCAGCTGTGACCAGCAGTGATGCAGAATTTGAAGTGGCCAGAATAGATTGTGACAGGGAGAAATGTGCCAAGAGGAAGTCGCATCAAGCCAACTCTGATCGGGACCATCGTCCACTTGGAAACCAATGTCCTTACTGTGGGAGAACATGCGGATCAAGAATAGGGCTCCATGGCCACCGATGAACCCACCGCCAAGACATTAGACTTGGAGGAACAGCATCCTCGGGCTATGAGGGATTGCTGAAGTAAGTAAGTGTTGAAGGCTTTCATGGTTGGAATCACTGGGTTGTTTTAGGGTTTTTGGGGCTATATGGCCATGTTCTAGAGGCAGGAGAGAATGCCTCTAGAACATGGCCATATAGCCTGTAAAAACCTACAACAACCCTAAGTAAGTAAGCATAAGGAGAAAAGGTAAAGAGAGAATTCTGGGTTTCAGACTTAAAAAATAAACCTAGCCATTGTATTACAATTAATTACTTCTTATTTAGGCGTTCCCTCATTGTCTGAGTAAGATTGTCTTCCAAGTTCGGTGTACTGGCGGTGGGTCTGTAGGTGACTGTGGAGCCCTATTCTTGATCTGCATCTTCTCCTGCAGTGAGGGCATCAGTTTCCAGGTGGGAGGCAATCCTGGTCGGGGTTGGCTTGATGCGCCTTCCTCTTGGCACGTTTCTCTCTTTTGCCCTCCATTCTGCCTCTTTGAATTCCACAGCACTGCTGGTCACAGCTGACCTCCAGTTGGAACGCTAAAGGGCCAGGATTTCCCAGTTCTCAGTGTCTATGCCAGAGTTTTTAAGGTTGGCTTTGAGACCATCTTTAAATCTCTTTTCCTGCCCACCAATGTTCTGTTTTCCATTCTTGAGTTCAGAGTAGAGCAACTGCTTTGGGAGACAGTGGTCGGGCATCCAGACAACGTGGCCGGTCCAGTGGAGTTGATGGCGGAGGACCATCGCTTCAATGCTGGTGGTCTTTGCTTCTTCCAGCATGCTGACGTTTGTCCGCTTGTCTTCCCAGGAGATTTGCAGGATTTTTCAGAGAACATGCGGATCAAGAATAGGGCTCCACAGCCACCTACAAAACCATTGTCAAGACACTAGACTTGGAGGACCATCATCCTCAGGATACGAGGGATTGCTGAAGTAAGTAAATAAGCATAAGGAGAAAAGGTAGAGGGAATTCTGTGTTTCAGACTTAAAAAATAAACCTAGCCATGGTATTACAATTAATTATATCCCATGACAAATCTTTCCACGGAAAGCATATGCTGAGAGAGCTCTCTCCTTCGGTAGTGAGCTGCTGACTCCAATATTTTCCTTACTGTTTGAACTGCTAAGGGCACTTCTGGAGCAGAGGGGAAAGAAGCCTCCAGGGACAGGTCTTGCCATATAATTCATAGCTGAGTGGTCTCCGCAGTTGGTTTGTAGTTTCCCTGCCTCCGTTTTCACCCCTCTGCTGAGCCCCATATCCAATCTGTAGAGCCTTAATAACTCACACACCAATTAAATCTCATTCGGGATGAAGAACGAGCAACAATAGCGACCGGACTCCTAGGCAACGCAGAAGCTGGTTTAATGTAAAGCAAAATGGAAAGACAGAGGAGCAGCAAGAGGGCAGATGACCTGTGTTGCAAGGTGGCATTCAGCTCCAACACAACACCTTCGATAGAAACTTTTCACAGGATCTTTTCACAAGGCACCTCATATCCTGGGCTTCACGGATTGCCCAATTGTCCCTATCTGGCAGGGACAGCCCCAAATACTCATCTGCCATGTCACTTTTCAAGGTGGTTTCTCTCCTGTTTTCCCTTTTTGTCCTCTGCTTGCTTCAGCAAACTGGGCTCAAAGTGCAAAAGTAGTTTGCATTGAGATAATTCACTGGGAAAGAAAGGAGGGAGAAGTATCATGCCCTTCCATGTAGGTTGAGGCAAAAGTAAACCAATGCATTCTCTCCGTATTCATCCTCATTAGAAGAAGACGACGAAGAAGAGGAGGAGGAGGAGGAGGAGAACTTTGTTTTTCTACCTCACCTCCATCTCCCCGAAGGGACTCGGGGCGGCTTACATGCGGCCATGCCCAGGCAACATACAGTTAAAAACAGAACAACAAAATACTAAAACAACATAAAATAGCATCATCATAAACAATAAAACAAGCATCATAAGCAACAATGGAGCCCCCGGTGGCGCAGTGGGTTAAAGCGCTGAGCTGCTGAGCTTGTTGATCGAAAGGTCACAGGTTCGATTCCGGGGAGCGGCGTGAGCTTCCGCTGTCAGCCCTAGCTTCTGCCAACCTAGCAGTTCGAAAACATGTGAGTAGATCAATAGGTACCGCTCCGGCGGGAAGGTAACGGCGCTCCATGCAGTCATGCCGGCCACATGACCTTGGAGGTGTCTACGGACAACGCTGGCTCTTCAGCTTAGAAATTGAGATGAGCACCACACCCCAGAGTCAGACATGACTGGACTTAATGTCAGGGGACAACCTTTACCTTTAAGCAGCAATAAAAGTATCTTTAGTCTCATTTTTGGAGGGAGGGGACCAATATGCAAAACGAGTTAAAGGACAGGTTGGTCAGTAAGGTGTATAGAATGAAAAGTAGAATAGGAATTGGGACCAGAAACTTATCGGCAGCCAGTGGAGCTGTTTAAACAGGGGGGTTGACCACTCCCTGTAACATGCCCCAGTTAACAATCTGGCCGCTGACCTTTGTACCAACTGTAGTTTTTGAAATGTCTTCAAGGGCAGCCCCATGTAGAGTGCATTACAATAGTCCAATCTTGAGGTAACTAAGGCATGGTCAAGTCAGACTTCTCGAGGTATGGTCGCAGATGGCACACAAGCTTTAACTGTGCAAAGGCCCTCCTGGCCACGGCTGACACCTGAGCATCAAACGTCAGCGCTGAGTCCAGGAGGACCCCCAAGCTGCAGACCTGTGTCTAGACTAGAGGTTCTCAAACTAAGGCCCAGGGGCCAGATACAGCCCTCCAAGGTAATTTACCTGGCCCTCACTCAGGGTCAACCTAAGTCTGAAATGACTTGAAAGCACACAACAACAACAGCAGCAACAACAACCCTATCTCATCAGCCAAAAGCAGACCTACACTACCTATTTGAAATACTGCGTAGTGTAAAAGGAGCTCTGGAAACGCATAGAGCTCCTTTTACACTACACAATTATAGTGTTATGATTCCTCTTTAACTGCCATGGAAACAACCTCCAGAATCCTGGGGCTGGCAGTTTGGGGAGGGATGTCTAGAATCCCCAGCCAGAGAGCTCCAGAGCGCCCACAAGCTACAAATTATAGATTTCCATTAGAGGTTGCCATAGTTAAGATGGAATGCTATAGATATTATAGTTGCATAGTGTAAAAGGTCCCTTTGCTGTTAAATGCCATTGGACTGACATTTTTATGGTGATCCCATGAATGAGAACTTTGCAAGTCATCCTGTTTTTCACAGCTCTGCTCAGGTCTTGCAAAGCCGGAGCTGTGGCTTCTTCTTCAACTGAGACTATCCAACCACAATACAGGCTTTTTCTTTCTCTCCAACTTTCTGCATCTCTTTTTCGTAGTCCACAATATCCACAGAACTCAGCTCTTGTGCCACATTTCCAACATGTTGATCCCCCCCCCCCCATGAACTTACTTCATTGCCCAGCTTTCACAAATGTATTTAGAAATGGGAGGGTGTAGGTGCAAAATCGCCCCATTTTAGCAAAGAGAGAGGTCTATATTATTTAGTTTATTTAGCAACATCTTAGCGTTCAAGTTGAGCAATCTGGGATCTTCAAGAGAATTATGGAAAACTGCTTCCTATCAGAAAAATAGGAAGCATTAATTGCAAAACTTATTCATCCAAGCACAATACTGTCTAAATTGGCCGGTACCAACTTCCCTAGTTTTCACATAGGCCCAGGAAAGTTACTTTTTTTGGACTACAACTCCCAGAAGTCTCCAGTCGACCACTGTCATGTTCAGAAAGTACTTTTCCCAAGTTGCATAACCAAGGGTCTCCTTACCAGCAGAACAAGAATCACCGGCCCTTGGTAGATGTAGTCGATGTACTTCCCCGGCTCCTTTCCAAACCAGCATCTGTAAACAGAAAGAGAACATATTTTAAGTTAGTGCAAACCTCATAGGTCAAATAAACTACTATATAATGGGATTGTAATGCACCTTCAGGAACTGCTCATAATTAGGCTTCTAAATTTCTGGGTTTGCTTAACAGTCCAGCTAGGCCTATGAAAGCCATCCAATATACTTTCTTTTTTTGAGCTGCTCAGTCATACACTCTAAATATATATATTTTATACCGTAAAGAATTGCTGAAGTGGTGAATGCTATACAAACATTGGGGAAAAATAGCTCTTTGGAACTGGAAAATTTTAATACTTTCCAGTGCTTTTTTAAAAGGATTCTTCAGCAGCCCAGGAGGGGATGACTTGGGGACCATTTTTTGCTTCAGGGAGACACCTGTTCAACCCCACAACCTTTGTCTTGCGGGGTTCCTCAGGGCTCAATATTGTCTCCCATGCTGTTTAACATCTACATGAAGCTGCTGGGAGAGATCATCCAGAGTTTCGGAGTACGGTGTCATCTGTACGCGGATGATGTCCAACTCTGTCACTCCTTCCCACCTGCTACTAAGGAGGCTGTCGAGGTCCTGAACTGGTGCCTGGCCGCTGTGACGGTCTGGATGAGGGCGAATTGAAACTGAATCCAGACAAGACAGAGGTACTCCTGGTCAGTCGCAAGGCCGAACAGGGCATAGGGTTATAGCCTGTGTTAGATAGGGTTACACTCCCCCTGAAGACGCAGGTTCGCAGCTTGGGTGTGATCTTGGATTCATCGCTGAGCCTGGAACCCCAGGTTTCAGCGGTGACCAGGGGAGCATTTGCACAGTTAAAGCTTGTGCGCCAGCTGCGCCCGTACCTTGGGAAGTCTGACTTGGCCACGGTAGTCCACGCTCTGGTTACATCCCGTTTAGACTACTGCAACGCTCTCTACGTGGGGTTGCCTTTGAAGACTGCTCGGAAGCTTCAATTGGTTCAACGCTCGGCAGCCATGATACTAACAGGAGCGGCACTCAGGGAGCATACAACTCCTCTGCTGCGCCAGCTCCACTGGCTACCAATTTGCTACCGGGCACAATTCAAAGTGCAGGCATTGGCCTATAAAGCCCTAAACGGTTCTGGCCCAAGTTACCTATCCGATCGCATCTCCACCTACAAACCCACTAGGACTTTGAGATCTTCCGGGGAGGCCCTGCTCTCGATCCCACCTGCAACACAGGCACGGTTGGCGGGGACGAGAGACAGGGCCTTCTCGGTGGTGGCCCCTTGGCTGTGGAACGCCCTTCCCATGGACATTAGATCGGCTCCCTCACTAATGGTATTTTGGAGAAAAGTGAAAACCTGGTTATTTGAATAGGCGTTTGAATAGGCAGTGCAATGAATATTGGAAACGGAACAACAGATGACGAGTTTGGATCATGATTCTAGTTACGAGACGCCAATGAGTGTTTATTGATATTAATTGCTTAGTCTTCTATTGTGTTAATTGTTTTTAAATACCTTGTTTGATGTTAGCTTTGAATTTTTGCTACTACTGTTGTTAACCGCTGTGAGTCGCCTACGGGCTGAGAATAGCGGTATACAAATGAAGGAATAAATAAATAAATAAATAAATATGTGTCACACTATGTAATACCAGTTGCAAGTACAGTTGGAAGCCTTCAAAGCTAAAATACTTACTTAATTGAAAAACAAACAGCATGAATATTGACTAAATAACCTAAAGCAGTGCTTATCAACCTGGAGGTCGGGACTCCTGGGAGGGGGCCCACAAAGGGGTGTCAGAAGGGTTGCTAGAGATCATCAGAAAACAGTATTTTCTCTTGGTCATGAGGGTCTCTGTGTGGGAAATTTGGCCCAATTCTATCGTTGGTGGGGTTCAGAATACGCTTTGATTCCCAGCAACTACAACTCCCCAATGTCAATATATTTTCGCCAAACTCCAGAGTTCACATTTTGGCATATTGAGGATTTGTGCCAAGTTTGGTCCAGATTCATAATTGTTTTGAGTCCACAGCGCTTTCTGGATGTAGGTGAACTACAACTCCCAAACTCAAGGTCAATGCCCATCAACCCCTTCCAGTATTTTCTATTGGTCATGGGAGTTCTGTGTGCCAAGTTTGGTTCAATTCAATCTTTGGTAGAGTTCAGAATGCTCTTTGATTGTAGGTGAACTATAAATCCCAGCAACTTCAACACTCAAATGACAAAATCAAACCCCACCCCACCAGTATTCAAATTGGGGTGTATCAGATATTTGTGCCAAATTTCGTCCAGTGAATGAAAATACATCCTGCATATCAGATATTTACATTATGATTCATAATAGTAGCAAAATTACAGTTATGAAATAGCAACAAAAATAATTTTATGGTTGGGGGTCACCACAACATGAGGAATTGTGTTAAGGGGTTGCGGCATTAGGAAGGTTGAGAACCACTGGCCTAAAGGCACCAGATTTGTCTAATCTTGGAAAATAAGCAGGATCAGAAGGAGCAGGATTGGTGAGACCACCATTGAATGCCAAGTGTTTGTAGGCTACATTTTGGAGGAAAGAACTGACACAACCATCTCTGAATGTGAATCCATACTGTGGAAGTAATGCAGTTTGACATCACTTGAACTGTCATGACTCAATCCTATGGGAACCTGGGAATCGTAATATTGCAAGGTCTTTACTCTTCCTTGACAAAGAGGGCTGGTGCCTCACCAAACTATAAATCCCAGATTTCCATTGCATTGAGCCAAGGCAGCTCAACTGGTATCAAACTGCATTAATTCTACAGTGTGGGTCCATCTGAGGTCAGGAAAGAATATGGAGAAATGAATGTTGGTACTCACTGTTCATTATCATAATAGAGTTTGCAGACAGCCCATGCGATAATTATTGGGCAAGGAATACCTGCAGAGGAATAAAAAACAGGAAAGCTCTAGACCAGGTCTACAGACATCACTATCTTTAGTATAAAATGTGATTTGGACAGAAAAAGATCTATTTATTTGCATATAAAATTCCCCAGGATATTTTGCAAAGTGAGAATCCTACCAGAAAATGGCAGGTATGTTGGTGCTGCATTATTATTTGGCCACTATCTTTTATCTGCAAGGAACCAAACACAAACAAATATTCTTTCCACTTCTATTGTTTCCCCAGTGGATTCTCTTTTGTGCTACTTACACCATCCTATGAAGAGGAAGACCCATTTCCTCAGCTTGTCGGTTGAGTAGGTCATGACGATGGCCGTGTGCAAGTAGCAGCCTTCCACGAACATCCAAAAGAAATTGGTCACCACAAAGTAGTTGAAGATCGTTGTAAGGCAGCGGCACCACAGCTGGCAAAGAGGTCAGAGAGGAGTTATGGGCAAGAACTGTAGGTCAGGTATGGAGTGAAATAGTAAATTCTGGTGGAAGTGTGCCATAGAGGCAGAGGCGGCCCTAGGTAATTTTCAATGGTAAGCAAACAGTATTTTGGTGCCCCCCCCCCCCCAACCAATCACTGATATATATTTTCTGTTTGTCGTGGGAGTTCTGTGTGCCATATTTGGTTCAGTTCCATCATTGGTGGAGTTCAGAATGCTCTTTGATTGTAGGTGAACTATACATCCCAGTAACTACAACTTGCATATGTCAAGGTCTATTTTCCCCCAAGAGCGCCTCAAGAGCGCCCCTGGGCAAAATCAACTATACTGCAAATGCTTACTTTGCGTAATGGTTGAGCCGCCCGGTATATGGGCACTGGTGCTTTGCTTCTAAAGTTCTGGTGGTGAAAATTTCAGAACTCTAACAAAACTTTCAAAATTTCATTATAAATGGCAGTTCCTAATTGGTTCTGTCATAAAAATTGCCAATAACAAAATAATAATTTTTTTTAAGTTTTGTTAGAATTCTGAAATTTTCATCACCAGAACTTTAGCAACACTTTAGAAGCAAAGCACCAGTGCCCTCTAGTTTTGTAAGTACTTGTGCTGGTACAGCTGTACCAGAAGCTCCCACTTTATTTGCCTTGTATTAAGTGTTTGCTTGCAGCCCAAGGCTTGAGATTCTGCAGAAGGGTGGCTTCCTGTTAAAGTTTGCAGTTATAGGGCAGGCCCCCTGTCCATCATCATTAAGTTTTGGTTCCGCCCCCTGTTCAGGACAATTGAGAAAGGTAGGGAGCCATTTTCAGTCAGTCTCAGCAAGGAAAGTCAATGTACTAGACGTGTACAGACTTCTCCTGTACAAAGGCTTCAACACTTAAGACCTCCTGGAGGAGAACAGTCTTAAGAGCAAAAGGATTCCCAAAGATTCCCAGGGAAACAGCCCTAAAGCTCTGAGGAATTTCAGAGGGAAAAACAACTTTAAACATCCAAGAACTCCAGCTGCAGTGACTACAGGCCTACTGGTAGGTCCACTCGGTGCTTTGAGACGCAGATCAACCTGGTAGTGGAGCCCGCATCAGTTAGGTTTAGGATCACAGTTAGCCTGGGAGAAGTTTGGAAAGGGATTTTCCTTTAGAGTAAAGTAACAGTTAGAAGCCACCAGTTGCACAAGGCCTGGAAGCATTTGTTTAACCTTTTGAAGACAAAATAAGTTTCTGTTGATTGTTCACCAATAAAATACTTTATTATATTTTACAAGCCCTCTAGAGACTGTTTATGGTGAAAATCCTTACGAATTTCTCTTTGGGCCCTCTGGCTTCCCGCTGGGCTAAAGTTGCATGTCTTGTTTTAAAAGCAATTCGTTTCAAGCCCAACGCGCAACAGAACACTACTTTAGAACCATTTAGGACAATGGATTGTCCATGCCTAGTGCCATAGATGAAATGGATGAAAGTATTGGGGGGGGGGGGTTCTCAAAAGATAAGGAAAGTGAATCCAGTTTACACAGCAGATAACCTACAAAAGTCACATATATTCATGAGTGAATGGCATTGGGACACATTGTGCTTCCAATCCTGATGGGTAGCATATAGAGTCGCATATGCCTTCCAATGAAAACTGAACACAGGTGAAAACTTTTGCTGAAGTTACTTGATGTTTCCTCTGAGATGTGGTTTTTTGCAAAGAATGAGATGTCGATAGGGAGAAAGCGAGTTTTCCAAATCCACCCAGTATTCATGGGAAAGGACTGCTTATGCCCAGAGATGATAAAGGCAAGGCAAAATGAGATAAGGCAGAATAAGGTGAAAATCACATTTCTATGTTGTTGAGAAATATGGTTCGTAATTTGGTCTGACAGATTCCTATTGTTTAGGTTTGGAACCTGGCCAGGAGGCAGAAATTATTTACGGAAATTTTCCTTTTTTAAAAAAAGTCAGTGGAAGATTAATAGACTGAAATTGGGTTTTTTTTTCTTCTCAAGGTAGCATCAAGAGGTGAAATTGGAATAGCATCATAAATTATAGTGAAGTTCTTGGAGAGATAAAAATTTCAGGTGAGAGAGGTAAATAAATGGCAAGAACTGGATTTCTCATCACTTCCATTTTTTTTTTGTGGTCAGAAAAGTAGCCCTTAGTCTTTCCTACACATGCTTTAAGCACATGAAGCTGCAAAGATTGCAACCCCTAGAATCATAGAATCAAAGAGTTGGAAGAGACCTCATGGGCCATCCAGTCCAACCCCATTCTGCCAAGAAGCAGGAATATTGCATTCAAATCACCCCTGACAGATGGCCATCCAGCCTCTGTTTAAAAGCTTCCAAAGAAGGAGCCTCCACCACACTCCGGGGCAGAGAGTTCCACTGCTGAACGGCTCTCACAGTCAGGAAGTTCTTCCTAATGTTCAGATGGAATCTCCTCTCTTGTAGTTTGAAGAGTTTAAAGAGTTTATCCTCCTTATGTAGTTTATCCTAGTTTATCCTCCTTATGCAGACAGTAGCCTTGCATTGCAGAGTTTTATTGTTTTTATTACATTTATTGTTTTTATATGATTTATATTATATGTTAATGCTTTTAATTATATTTTATGTTATTGGGGGCACTGAATTTTGCTGTTTGTAAACCGGCCTGAGTTGCCTCCGGGCTGAGAAAAGCGGTATATAAATATGGTAAATAAATACATAATAGCAGATGGAAGCAATACGAAGTATGGCAACCAGAGATGGACAGCACAGCCAATGAGACCCCTCATGCAAGGGAAGCAATGCTTTGATGCAGTATCTCTTGACAACTGTAGTCTCTGCAGTGTAAATCTGGAATGGCTTTTGCTACAAAAGGAGTACCTCATTGCTTTCGTGGATGTTGTGGTCGATCAGCTGGAGCGTAAACCACGTCACGTTCCTCAGGATGAATGTCGTGATCAGATTCCAGTGGATAATATTGCGAAGGCATCGGATGCTCCTGGAGAAAGAAGTGAATGACAGTCAACACAAGGACAGTTCCCTTCTCTCCAACAATTCTGCATCCACAAACTGAGAGGCAGAGGCTAGGATTCTGCTTGGGACTTACATTTCTATATATGACTTTGAACAAAACTGAAAAGGAGTAGCTGAATGTTCACCTACTTGATGTCCTGATGTTATAATGTATGGACATTTGATTTCCAATTATAGCTACTGGAAGGACTGATGGATCATGGCCCAATGCACAATGGGAACTGATGGACATCAGGACAGTTGCAATGTGCATCCAAACACCAGTTTGGATGCATTGGAGCACAACTGGAGCGCATCCATGATTCACATTGGAGCATTCGTATCAGTGTCTAGATACCTAACTTTATCATTTACTAACAGGGTTTCATTCAATTTTCTGCAATTTGGCTATGGATTCATAATGTTAAAAAATGTAATCTGTAGAGTAAGATCTTGGCCAGATCTTACTGCATAGATAGTATGTGTGTAGATTTATTACCACTATTTCCCATAGTTGTAGAATACAGCATGACTCCACTATATATAGGACCAACACCTGTAATTTCATTTATCCATGTCTGACAAAATATATCATATCTAGGCTTTTTCTAAGCCCCCCAGTGAGACTTTATGTGGCATTCTTGGGCCACATGCTATTCCTTTCAGTAGAGTTTGCTACTATCATGCAGTTTTTGTACCCACACCAAATCCATGAACATTTCTCTGCAGATCTGGAATCCTACTGTATAGTTTCTCAGTTAAAATAGAAATACCAAGATGTCAAGTGAGAGTGTACACAAATAAATATGTATGTGTCTTCAAAAAAGCCTTCCACCACAATGGTTTGGATGAAGATGCGCAATGGAAAATCCATAGTCTGGATGATCCCTCATCTCTGACATTTTGGGTGATTTCTCAGTTAAAATAGAAACACAAAGATGTCCAGTGAGAGCATATACAAATAAACATGTATGTGTCTTCAAAGAAGCCTTCCACCCCAATGCTTTCGATCAAGGTACGCAATGGTAAATCCATAGTTTGGATGATCCCTCATCTCTAACATTTTTGGTGATTTCCCATAATTTCAAGAAAGAGAAAAGCAAGTAGTGTAGAAATCTGTAGTAATCATACAGTCAGCCTTCAGCATTAACTTGGGTTTGGGTGCAGGACCCTTGCAAAAGAGGAAAAAATGTGAATAAAAATCACTCTTTTATAAATATAGATGGTCTTTCCGGGAATCTCTAAGTCCTCAGGTGTGACTTTATGGCCTTCTTCCGCCAGATTCTTTCTAGGAATCTTTAGGCACAGTGTTATGGTCAACATCCAGCAGAAGTAGTTGCACTGGAGGACGTATATTTTCATTCATTCATTCATTAGGCGATCCCTCATAGTCTGAGGATGATGGTCCTCCAAGTTCGGTGGGTTCGTAGGTGGCTGTGGAGCCCTATTCTTGACCTGCATCTTCTCCCACAGTGAGGGCATTGGTTTCCAGGTGGGAGGCGGTCTCGGTCGGGGTTGGCTTGACGCGCCTTCCTCTTGGCACATTTCTCTCTTTCACCCTCCATTCATACCTCTTCAAATTCTGCAGCACTGCTGGTCACAGCTGACCTCTAACTGGAGCGCTCAAGGGCCAGGGCTTCCCAGTTCTCAGTGTCTATGCCAGAGTTTTAAAGGTTCGCTTTGAGCCCATCTTTAAATCTCTTTTCCTGTCCACCAACATTCCATTTTCCGTTCTTGAGTTCGGGGTAGAGCAACTGCTTTGGGACGTATATAGACCCATTAGGAAACCATATTAATCAAAATCACAGAGGCTAAACCCACAAATGTGGATATGTGACTGTACAGCAGTTTTGTACCACATTAGCAGTCAACGGGTCCTTCCTGTAGAATTTGGGATGTATAACTTGGTAAAATAGCTTGAGTTCTCTACCAAAGAGCTCTAATGCTGTAGTTCAGGCATGGACAAACTTCTGCCCTTCAGATGTTTTGGACTTCAACTCCCACAATTCCTAACAGCCTACTGGCTGTTAGGAATTGTGGGAGTTGAAGTCCAAAACACCTGAAGGGACAATGTTTCCCCATGCCTGGTGTAGTTTAATAGGATTAGAGTACAGAATTAACCAAACTACAATCCCCAAGATTCCACAGAATGCCTCTACATCACTAAAGAGTTACCAAAGTGCTATTAGATTGCAATGTGGATTGAGGGTAAAACCTGGTGCCATTTCATTGGCACACACAACTCATTCCTGATTTGCATCCAAGCTAGCAATGATTGAGGATGTTGATGAAAAGTTGAAGAACAGTTCCCTCCACCAAGGACAGACTGTCAAGAAGGAGACAAATCAATAGCCCACAAAATTAGAATTATACCAAGCTATCTGCGCTGTGCCAGGGAGTTTGGGTCCCATAGAGGCCAATAAGAAGTTAATTTATCCTGGCATGGCAGCCGTTCTCTTGTGGTCTCCAATTAGAGGATTGGTGGTACAGGATGCAATGTACAAACAATTCGACTCCATGAAGCAATGCATACATAGAATTGCTATTTCTCCATTTCTGATTGCAAAACATCTCCGGTGAGTTGCACTGAGTATTGCAATAAGACCGAGAACAACATATAGAGGTTCACATGCATTTTCATATTCATCTTGGTTAAATATTTAGCATATTTGCAAGAGCCACAAAGGATTTGAGCCTGTTAATTATATTCTAGTAAGAGCAATATTTTTCTTCTTAAAATATCTGCATAAATACATTTTTATAGCTGGCGAGACCATGGGCACGTTCCAACTTTCTATTCTAATTCTGTTTTGCAAAACTCTCCAGGAGTTGAGACGGTGGATTGAATTTTTTTATAACTCTCATTGCAGCTTCAAAGCTTTTGGAATTTTTCAAAAAAAGAAATGAAAAAAAAAAAGGTTAAGACCAAAAGGGAAGTGCAAAATGTGGAAAGAGCTGTGTTTATCACCTTTGGAGGAGAAATGTTGCTATGTCAAGATCACTTGAAGGGACTGTGTGTGAGAGAAAGACAGTATAAAAGAAGGAGAGAGATTACGAGAAGGTTTAAAGGTGAAGTTTTAGGCAAGACGTATTGCAAAAATCAATTCTGGGGGGTTAGGGCTAGGATCACTTCGTGAATACAAAACAGTTTCACAGAATTATTAGCCTACACAATACAGTTAATGAGACAGCTGGTGCAGAATACAATACACTCTCAGTTAATCAGGATTGGCAAGCAACCAGCAAAAAAGTCAAAGAAATAGTACTTTAAATAAAATATTTATTTATTTGTTGTTGTTCATTCGTTCAGTCATCTCTGACTCTTCGTGACCTCATGGACCAGCCCACGCCAGAGCTCCCTGTCGGCCGTCACCACCCCCAGCTCCTTCAAGGTCAGTCCAGTCACTTCAAGGATGCCATCCATCCATCTTGTTCTTGGTCCTCTTCCTTTTGCCTTCCACTTTCTCCAGCATAATTGTCTTCTCTAGGCTTTCCTGTCTCCTCATGATGTGGCCAAAGTACTTCATCTTTGTCTCCAGTATCCTTCCCTCCAGTGAGCAGTCGGGCTTTATTTCCTGGAGGATGGACTGGTTGGATCTTCTCGCAGTCCAAGGCACTCTCAGAACTTTCCTCCAACACCACAGTTCAAAAGCATCTATCTTCCTTCGCTCAGCCTTCCCTACGGTCCAGCTCTCACATCCGTAGGTGACTACAGGGAATACCATGGCTTTGACTAGGCGGATCTTTGTTGCCAGTCTGATGTCTCTACTCTTTACTATTTTATCGAGATTGGATATTGCTCTCCTCCCAAGAAGGAAGCGTCTCCTGATTTCCCGTCTGCAGTCTTCATCTGCAGTAATCTTTGCACCTAGAAATACAAAGTCTGTCACGGCCTCCACGTTTTCTCCCTCTATTTTCCAGTTGTCAATCCTTCTTGTTGCCATAATCTTGGTTTTTTTGATGTTTAGCTGCAACCCAGCTTTTGCGCTTTCTTCTTTCACCTATTCATTCATTCATTCATTCATTCATTTATTTATTTATTTATTTTGTGTCAAAAGCATTGCATAAATAAATAAGCGTAAAATTGATAAAATAAAGAGGGCACAGCAGCTAAGTAGTTTCAGACCAAAAACGGGCAACAGTGACTGCATTGTCTGTAGCTTTAAAGAGTTCGTTCTCTGTGCATGAGGCAGGGCATAGTGGGCAAGCATACAGATGCGTAGACCTCACTACCTCTGAGGATGCTTGCCATAGATGCAGGCAAAATGTCAGGAGAGAATGCCTCTAGACCACGGCCATATAGCCCGAAAAAACCTACAACAACCCAGATGCGTAGTTGTTTGTTCTGCTCTACAGTTGCACAAGGTGGAGGATTCTTCTAGGTAGCAGTATTTTGACAGGTTGTCTTTTGATCTCTCAACACCACTTCTGAGTCTGTTCTGGGACTTCTAAGTTGCCCATTCTTGCTTTGCCCCTGGAAGAAGACCCTCCTTTGTGGGGGGCCATCCAGTTGGGATTTTTTGGTTTCGCTGCCCAGAGGGATTCTCTTGCTGTTGCTGGAGGAACATTAAGAGGAGTGGTGGTTCTCACGAAACTTTTCCTTGATTTTTAACGGCACTTAAAAAGAAAACCACCTTATGAGTCTAAATGGTAACCGTAAGCAGCAGGTGCACTTCTAATTTCATTTTGTTGGGAAAAGTGTGCACAGGCAATTGGAAGTTCAGGAAACTCTTGCTATGTTGCACTGAAATCTTTGACTAATTAACTAATCTGTCTTTTTGAACCCACACCTGCAGTTAAAAAAAGATAACACACTACTGGGTAGCTGTTACTGAGGTTATTAGAAAAGGCTTAGCAAAGCATGCAATGATGCGGCCAAAGGGCCCATAACCATAAACATCACAGCAGTGGCCAAGGCAGCGGCACAAACCAGGCGAACATCAGCAGAGCCAACCAACGCAGGTCAAGCAAAGTGCAAAACAAAGA